GAGCTGCAATTGGCTCATGTATTTAAGGATTCCTACAGCGTGAAATTCGTATAACATGGAACGTATCTACACATTATATAGGGGGGTCTACTGTATCCCTTGTTGAATACATAAATTATAAATAAAAACTAATGCTGTTGGAATTGCTTCAAAAGCATGCTTTAGCATTAAGGGGGTGATGCCATCTAACCCCTGATACTTCTTATTTTTCATAGATTTGATTACCCTGTGGACCTCTCTATATGTGAATAAATCATCATCAGATGTGTTAGGCAAAGGCTTCATATTGTTGCTAATGTCTCTTTGTTCAGAACTATCGTTTAAATCAATGTCTTTTGAAAAATGGACGTCCATGAGGTATTCCATAGTTTCATGATAAGTTCTAGTGTTATCACCATTTTCTTTACTTAGGTTCACTGGAATACTGATGTTTTTCCTAGGTTTACAGACCATATAATACGGGTCTGACCATACAGAAAACTGACCCATTTTAGTGCAGAAAGCTTTCCAAGACTGGGTATGTGCCTTGTTAATTTGAGTTTTGTAATCGTTCAGAGATTGCCTATATTTATTTCTAAGTTCATCACTTTGAGGAGTGTCTCGAAATTTCTGAAAACACTAAGTTTTTCCTCACCTGCTGTCTTAATTTGACCGAATCTGTATTCCACCAAGGGGCCTCTTCTTTGTGTTAACTGTATTTGTGGTAGTCCTATAGGATGCTTCTAAAATGCAGTTGGTATAAGTGTCCACCAAATTATTAATATCACTATTATAAGGATCTACTTGTAGCCATAAGTCTTTAAACACCTCTTTAAAGTGATTCCAATCTGTATTTTGTTTGTAACCAATAGCATCATTGTAATTCGGAATATTCTGCAGTTTCCATCTTATGTATTGATGGTCACTTGCCGTAATAAAATCAGATGTTTCACAAGAAATTACTAATTGATGGGACGTAGTATTGGTGATACTAATATCAACCCAACTTTCTCCACAATCAGTAAAGTAAGTAGGAAGGCTACTTGTGTTTCTAGACATGAAGGAGTTTTTTTATAGGAATTCTTCAACTCGCTGGCCTCTTACATCCCCAATAGGATTATGCCATATAGAGGATTTGGCATTTAGGTCTCCTCTAATTATCCAGGGGTCTTGTCCGATGTAAATATTGATGTTTTCCAAATCATTGAGAAGATTATTAATTTGTTCATTAGGCGAGCAATATACAGATGATATATACAACACACTATTATTGAAAGTCAGTAAAATTGTTGTGATTCTCTCTGTACTTAACGCCGGGCAGAAGTGAGTATTGAGATTCCTATTTCTTACCAAAATTCCAGTGGTTGTACGAGGTGTAAAGTCTCTGGGAGGATAAGTTCTCCATCTGCCAAACCTTACAATACCATTGTCTACCAGGTATGGTTCCTCAATTAGTGCTAAATCAGTATTCCAATCCTCAGCAGTCTTCAACAAGAGAAGCTGCTTTACACCTTTGTAAATTTATCTGAGTTATTTCTAAGTTGTTAATTTGCTGTGTATTAGTCATGATAGAAGAGGTCCCGTTGTTATGTGTTAAACAATTGTTGGTCCTATATGCCATAATCCATCTGCTTTATGCTTCGGTGTTTCAATTTCTATGTAATGTGACACTGTGAGTTGAAGGCGTTGTGATCTTTAGCAATGCGTTTATTAAGTGGAAGGTCTTGGTTATGTTCCTCACAGTTAATGCAAGATGGAGTTTTATGTTTTCTATTACATTCTGTATATTTATGTTCATTTCCACAATGACTGCAGGTAAGTCTGTTGGTGCAATCCCGGGCCAGGTGATTGTACCCGCAGCATTTGTAGCATCTCAATAGAATCCTGAACGACGGGTCAAGCGCGGGTGAAGAATGGTTCAACTGCCTTCCCTCGTCGTTTTCTCTCTCTCCTCCTCCACTTCTGTCCCTAACTCCTACACCCTCCAATAAATCTTTTGCCCCTGGGTACACACCCTGATCGAGTCATATCCACCATGTGTCTCTCCAAATTTTCCCTTTCGCTGTTGGTGGGCCTGCTCGTTGTTGCATCCCTCACATATATCAATAATCTAATAAAGTCTATGGTAATGATAAAAGTTTAATTTATTTCTTGTCACTTATTTGCTGGTTTTGATCTATAGAATCCTCGAAGTCAAAAGTAAAGAGAGTTTTTACTTGTTTTATTTTTAGTGCTTTATTATATATACCGATCCCATTGGTTTCTAATTATTGAAAGAATATGCTTCTTAAAAGCTGATCGCTTATCAAAGAATGCCAGACAATTTGATGCTATGAAGTTGCTGTTGGGAGTTACACCACACTGTTGAACAGACATGTCATCTTTTATCTGTCTATTGGTGTAACTCTGATTTCTGTCATTCTTGGCCAAGGAGATGTGGGAAGATGACATGTCAGTACTGGAGAAGGAGTCCAAGAAAGAAGACTCATGCATGTTCCACTTACCACCTGGAAAAAGCCCTTGCAAAATTCTACGAGAGCTACTTCTGGAATCACAGCATGTCACTCCTTTCTCTATAGATGCCAAAACCATCATAAGACTCATGCAGTGGAACGAAGGAGATAGTGCTTGAAATTTGTGATATTAAGAAGTAGAGAGAAGGTTGTAAGTGGAGTTTTTTTCGTCTCAATGAAGGAGGTCCATGTGGTGAGGTTGAACTTCTCTATTAACTGTGGTCGACACCTTAAGTGCCCAACTCGCAGGACAAAAGAAAGATCCCATAACAATATAATTTTCCTTCCTTCCTTCTCAAATTATATTAGTATTAGTATTAATCTAAAATAATTTAGTTTTAATTGATAATATAAGACGATGGAAACGGATTTTCCATGCGCCGGCTTCGGATGCATAATTGTCAGGAAAACGAATAGTACTGTTAAGAAATGGCAACAGAAAGGAGAATATTGTAAGTTACTGTTTAGATAAAATAAATTTATATTGTCATTGTATTCCTAATGAAAGGTGGTTTAATGTATATTATTTATAATATTTGGTTTTTATTAACCTGCATCATCACAGTACATTGTGAATCTTGGCGGCTGCCATATACAGCCATCCATAAATCTGGCGGCATTAATCTTCCGTTAAGGCCAGTTCAAATTAGTCAAGTTATTTAAATTCAAGCAAGTAGAAACCAGGTAACTCTAATTCGAATTTGTGTTCATACCATAAGCAAGTAACTGAAATGAAATACATATTTAAAATGGCATCAAACAAGCTAGTACGTGCAGGAAACTCAGTAACAACAACCAAAATTGTGAACAAACAATCGAAAATTCTGGAAATCCAAAACGGCGAATACTGACAAGAAAACAGATAAGCAAAACTCACCTCGGTGCATCTGCAACCATTTTTAAATAGTTGGCTTCAGAAGATAGACAAGCACACAAGAATCACCTAAGAATGTCTGTAGATCAATTTGATGATCTACTCAGAATGATTGTCAATAAGATACAGAAAAAAATCAACACATTTTAGACAATATAAGTAAGAATGAAACTAGAAATCACATTACATTATTTAACGAGTGGCAATATCCTAATATCTCTGCAATATTTGTATTGAGTGCCAAAAAACACAATATCTATGTTTCTACCTGGGTTCTTTTGGCTATTTACATTGTTTTGCAACCATTTATTAAGACAAGTATGTAATCTGTTAAACAGCATATGTATTTGTAAGGACTTATTCAATAATACAGTAATCATATCGTATAGCCTTTTCCAGGCAATCAAAATCATGTCAATATTACAGCTAAAGTACAACTAATTTGAATTAGTTGTCGTTAGGGTTTCTCAAACAAGATCCCAGTTGTTTTTTTTAACCCGGAGAATATTTGAGAAATTTTTCTCATCCTGGGAAATTCTGCAAATTTCTTAAAAATTCACTTTTTTCTTATTTTGTGTTCAGGTTGAGGAAATTTTGCAAATAGAAAGTATAATTAACTCATAAACTGTCAGAATACATTTATACTTATTAATTTTAAACCTACTTATTAGTTTTTTAAATTTTTGCTCATTATGGCGCCTCACAAATGGTCAATAATCAATATGTAGCTTATTTGTGGCAGGACTCTGAAAATTCTTTACTTGTCAGAACCTGTAATATCTGGAATAATTGTGCTCATGCTGTCTTAATTTTTAACCATGCCCAGTAGCTTCAATAACTGAGTAATGCCAGGTTGCGTAAATTAGGCAAAGATACAAACGAGTACGAAATATGCAAGTACGAAGATTTTCTTCATAAACCCGATTATTAAAGACAAACGAACTGCCAAATTATTGGGCTATAATGTTTCTATTAAAGCAGTCCAGGTAGACAAATCAAGAATACTAGAGAGTGAAAGAAGTACTACAATCTCGAAAACGAACTAGAAATCTTCCAGGCTACGGGTGAGAAAAACATATCTGTCTTCTCTTAAATGCATTAAACACACTTCCACCAACATCAATCGAATCAGAAAGGGCATTCTCGGTAGCAAGACTTTTCATTACTAAAATAAGAATCAGATTGTGTGATCGAAGTATCGACCATCTTTGCTTTTTAAAATCTTATAAAAATTTACAATATTTTGTATTATATTTTATTTAAAAAACGAAAATTACCTTTTAAGTTAGAAGTTTGATCTAAGTTCATATTTTTTAATTTTTAACTCAATTCAAAGCTTTTTTTTTGTTGTTGTTGTATGCAGTTTCCAGCAAACTTTTATAAATTTCTTCTATTTGTGAAAATTTGTACGTAATTCGAAGGTAATTTTTAATATATATCTTACACAGTATTATTAATATGATTTTGGAAGTTGCAGAACGTATTAAATTACTTTAAAAAAAATGAAAAATAATTATATCATTTGATTCTAACTTGTAAGATATTTTGTATATCTTAAAAAATAGTTAATTTATCCCAGGACAAGCAAAACACCGGGAAATGAGAAACCCTAGTTGTTGTCAACGAAGGGCGGTTCCAGCAAACATCGTATTTTTCGTGATTTCGAAAAATTTACTTATCTTTTCATTACTCTTATCACTCGTGTCTCGTCAAGGTAATAAACTTTTCAAAATCAAAAGCAGGCCCCTTTAATTAATTAACTAGCAGTAAACAAGTAAGACTCACACCATTCAAGTTGTTATTTGACTCGAAACGCAAAAGGTTCAAAGAGGTCAAGTGGTTTCAGGTTACTTGACTAATGCGAACGAGCCCTTAAATTAATAACTCACCTGAGGAGCGATGTTACTGAGAAAAAACGTCTGTTCCACGTGCTTCTGACTCATTCGATGGTTACCGGCGGCAGCCAAATGTCCTCTGTCGTAACCGCTACGTTTGAAGTCGTCGTTAGTGGATCGGAAGAGAGCGTGGATGGATTCGTCTTGGACGAATTCGCATTTACTTCTGTCTACTTTGTAATTGGGATGAAGTCTGTCGTAAGTTAAATGCTCCAGAGTCCAGTAAGCTATTCGATTTCTGAAGTCGTAGGACAGAAGGAAATCGTCCAAAGCCCTTACGTTTCCGGTTCCGGGAAATCCGTATCTAGCGATCTGTCCGATTCTATTCGGCGGTAATATCGGTGCGGAATCCGCTTGGTCTTCTATTAAAGTCTTAGCCCGTACGGTAGACGTCCTCCATTTCTCGAACTGTATTCCCAAACTCCATCCGACGGCCGAACTTATGCATAAACCTACGACTTTCGACTTCATACCGGCGAAACCACCGTTTCCTTCGTAAAAAGTAACGAACTACTCGAAATTCCCAAGTTTGCGCGCAGCGCCATCTGTTATTCCAAGTCGTGTTTCGTAAAAATTTAAAGTCTTTAATTATGTGTCAAGAGTAACTTCTAAATGAAAAACATACTCTATTTAAAATTATAAACGGAATTCTGTGGCTCAAACTCGTAGATAGCACGAAATCTATATCGTAACCTTGGAACTGCGGATCGAAAATAGCGGCTCTATAGGGAACATTGGTGTCCCGACCTTATGTTTATGGACCTTGGCTACTACAGGAGTTACGAGTGTGCTTTGCCGTTTATAGGTATTTAAGAACCAGGATAAAAGAACAAAGATAGCGGCGCCTGAATACCGGTGTCGTGACTGAGGAATCCATGATTTTAAAATTGCGTTTTTGGAGACGAAAGTTAAGAGTCCCAACTATAAAATTCAACTACAAAATGGATCGTCTTGCCGACAGAGCATTAAAAGTACTCACGAAAAAATTAGAATGCCGGCTACCGTTCGAAAAATATTCGAGACGACACGTCACTGCGTGCATTGACCCGAGCTTTCAGCTTTTAAATTTTCATTGGTGAAACCACATAGTGAACACCGAAACAAAACTATCCGAGCCGTGCGGGATGTCGTGTCACTTTCCACCATAACATACTACCACCAGCGGCCTTTGCCGGCCGGAATATAGGAACGCCCCGTTATCATAGATGGTCGAGCGACGAACACGTGGAACCGGGAATGAATCCCGACGGATCGAAACTTCCGGTAGTTTTTCGCGGCCGACGATCCCGAATGTGTCGGTTGCAGTCGCGGCTCGATAAAAGAGCCCGATTATTGCCCGCGGGGCGGAAAAAATAAAAGAAAAAGCTTAACCGGACCACGCGCGAAATTTCCCGGATGGCTGGGCCGGCATTGATCCAAAATCTCCCGAGCCATAGGCCGTCTCTATCCTAAAAATAAAAGCGTTAAAACATTAAACCAATAATGATTATTAAAAAAATTAAAGCTAAAAAGGTATAAAAAGAATCAGTTTGCAGAGAAAAAATACTTTTTATTTACATTACTGACAAGCTCCCCAAATGCATTTCGCCTATAAAAGGCCTTTTCAGTGGGCTAATCGTATACAGTTCAACTCATTAAGAACCACTTATACCCCCTATTTCACCAACAGACGATTAGGCAAATCGCAGGATTAACAACTATCANGAGATTATCGGATTCACTAATCCTGTTCTTAATATCTCGGGATTTACTAATCCTTCGCTAAAATTTGTTGGTGAAATCCTCGCGTCAGTAATCTCGGTATTAGTCTAATCGCTGGATTTACAAATACCACGATTAGGCAATGTTGGTGAAATACCCTGATATAGTTTACAAAAATTTCCTAACGTTCCCGTATTTAAATTTACATTATTGTTCTGCATAATTATAGCGAACTGTTCTTTTACCTTCCGCTTTACATTGTTTTTTCTCTAAACATAATTTTTAATTTTAATTTGTTTGCAGACAACGAACGTAGAGACGATAAAATTTATCCATGAAACTTTCGTTCTGATCTCGCTAATACGTTTGGAAGAATAATGGCAGCTTAAGGTTACGTGATCACCAACTGTCAATACAAAAGTATTCTTTATATGGTCACACACTTATTATAGGCTCTCTAATTTGCACCTTATTCTCGTGCTATATGATGTAGAGGATAATTCGTTTTTTTTTTTTTCTTTCTTTCTCCCATCAGACTAACAGATATTGAAACTTCGAAAAAACATTTTCAATAATATTATTTTCATGTTAATTTCAGCTTAAAATTAATATTGTTCTTTGAAATCGGTTATAAAATAAATGTCAAATTAGAATTTCAAAGAAACCTTAGCAATAAATTTCACTGAAGGTTCACTATATGCAAAATTTACGTGGAATAGAATTTTATGATGTTTGTTTAATGTTATTTACATTTAAAGCCTGCTACTAAGTAATATAGAGTTATTACAACTTTTAACTGGATTTGAAAATTTAAATAAGAGATATCAGGTTTTTCTGCCACATAAATAACAACAATAATGAACAGTCCATAAAGTCAAGGTTTTGCAGACGGACGATGTGAGCTGATTGATGAAATTTTTATTGCAGAACTTTGATAATCTGGACATTTTTGGATTTTTGCAAGGACAGATCTTTAGTTAGGTGAAATTTATATTGAAATAATCAATTACCGTATTTATTCTATATTTGATCACTCTTACGAACTTTAAATGTAATTAAACTATAATATTTTAAATTTAATTAATACAAGTGCAATACAGTGGGTGATCGGTTAACGAACACTTTCGCGAAAGATTTTTATGTTCGGACAACGAAAACGTGATCGGAAAACGAACACCCCAGAGAACAAACACAAGAAGCGGCGTAAAATAATGAATACCGATTGGTCTTCCATTCTCTTCCGGCAACAATTCGAAACTTTTCGACATCGACGCTCAAGCTGGTATATACCGATCGGATAGTATTCCTCCGAACTTTGAAATACTTCCTTGTAATTCCAGCCTTTTATTTTTCTGACAAAACAATTCTTTTGTGTATTCCCGAGACTGTCGGGCGGGCACTCGTTAAGTTTTGCGTCTGTTTTTCTTTTCGAAAGGTGAGAGTATAATAGCAAAGGTAGAGAGAGTGGGCAAAAGATGCCTAATGTTGCTGGGTTATATGGCGTGAACAGGTCTACAGTAGGCCCCAGTTCAATCTTATTTAAGAAAAATACTATATAATCAACAGCGGCTGCCTTAACCATTGCGAGGCTCCGGGCGGCAGATCTTTGCGAGGCCCTTCTCTTTTGTGCAAAGTATGTGAATTGAAAGTAGGTATTTCTGATGATTGACAAGAAATGCAAAAGTTATAAATGAATAAATTTAGAGTTTTAAAATATTATATTAGAAGATTTATAAAAGTTAACAAACATAAAAACGACAAATTATTATTATTTTTTTACTCTTTCCACTCTGTGGACACTAAGAGAGCAAACCCTAATGGTCCTGCTATAAGAGTATAGCAGGCCCATTAGAGTTCGGCCAGGCACACAATCCGGCGACAGGGTGGTGAAAGACTGGACCCGACATATGCGAACGGACCCCCCCGAAAATGTCCTAAGGAATCCTTGACCCATTCGGATTCGATCTTGTGTCCTCCAGAGCGGTAGGCTGCCATCTTGACCGCTAGGCCATCCGGTCTACGACAACAAATTATTAATGATGATAAACTAAGGTATATAAATGCCTTAAAAGATATACACAGGATTTAAAAATGAACCATTTCAACATACAATCTTTGTGCAGTCAGCTAGATTCATGAGACTTTAGGTAATCATCCAAGTATTTTTAATCACACACTCTTGTATTTTCTAGTCCGAACGTTCGACACGGAAAGCAGTAAACGGCATCCTTTGTTTGTGAATAAATCATCCAGCACTTGTCAAGTTTTTCACCACTAGCTAATATTTTACTGTAATGATATTCGCTGAATCGCCATCCATTATCATTTACAGGGAAAAAATTAACTTTAACCCGGATTGGACCTTTTAATACAATCTCAGTTTGGTCTACATCAGTAATTGTTAATGACCACAAACCTGGGTCATTTTGAGGATTCAGATTTTCAATTCTGCAAGTCATGAATGTAAACATAGACTCAGATACGTATTCTTGGCTGGATAGGGTTGACAGCGGCGGTGGCGTAAGAGACAATGATGATGTTGACTCATTATCCTCGCTATTATTACTAGGTGGCAGCAGCACCCATGACGATGTTGAAAGAATAATTTCAGCTGGGTTAGGGTTACAGTGCAGTAATGTGTCACTTTCAGTCAATGAAGGGTTTCTAGAGGTTTCTTGACCATCACTTTTCATATATTTATATAAAGACCCACGTAGATTTTCTTCTACCTGTTTTCTTTTGATAGGTCGTTTCCTTTTTGAACTACCCGACTCAAATTTTCTACCGGCATCACGATCAAGCGAACTCATTTCATAAATCTTGTTTCTCACATAAAACTAATTCAGAAACAATTTAAAAGCAGTTTCACACAGTTTTTTTTAACAATTCACTCTTTACCATAAGTACTGTTAATAATTAAGATTCACTAAAACTTAATATCATTTTTAATGTTTATTTACCTACTGAAAGATATGTGCCATACAAACGATTATGTAACCCTTTAAGGATCACAAGGTGTGTGTCAGACGCCCTGCGTCAGTTTTTTCAGTGGCATTTTTTTTTCGAAATTTTTCAAAAAATTTCAAAAAATTCAAGTTCTCCAATTTTTTTCAGCTACAAAAAATGCAATAAATAATTTTCTTATCGCGCGCCAACTTTACTCGGGAAAAAAAATAAAAAAAAATGCCGGCGTCTCACAGAAGCCAGGCGACCGTTCAGCAGAAAAAATTCCGCAGCGATTGCGAGAATCACTATTGTTGATCGCGACCATTGTGCGCATCTGTATTATATTCGAGTTTTTCAGCGATCGCAGCTTCGATTCGCTCTTTTGTAGGTCGATTGACTTTGTTTAAGCCAATACGTGTTTTGTTACCATTCCTGGGCCATAAATATTTCGGTAATTACATTCCTCTGCCATTTACAGTAAATCAAACAGTTGGTTGAAAACAATCGAAGGGAAACTCCTTATAAAGTTTTATTGGGTATCTTCTGTCTTTGTTGACATTACTGTAACTAATCACAGACTTGTGAAAGGAAAAATTGCCGAGAAAAGTCCCGCCTCCAACCTTCAAAGTAAAATGTAAACAATCACAGTAAATTCGCTTTTTAAATCGTTTTTTTAGCTCTAAACAACTAATTTAACGTTTTTGACATTAAATTAGGCAATTCGACAATATTTAGGCATGTAAATATATTTTTAAAACTATCTAGCAATAAATATTCCCGGAAAACTCCACCTCCCTATAGTAAGTGTATGGAAGATGTTCTTGCTGTTAATTGGCATTAGAATCTTTATTTCTACGCCTATTACGCTCTAATTGGTAATTTATATTATGACAGAATCAACTTTCAACGAATGAGAGTGTTTTCAGAGCCAGCTGGTCTGGATTTTCCCGCGAAGAACCAATCCACGTGATCAAAGTCAGAATGTAAACAAACGTTAAAAAATTGCTATATTCTATATTTTAAAGCGTATTTTTACTAGTTTGCATGTTATTTGACTTAGATAAGAAAATTTTTTAACAAAAGCTTCCAGCTAAAAAATTAACCGGGAAACTTATTACTTCCAGATGTTGCATAATCGCAAAAAAAATTAACTGATCGCTTATTATAGTGTATTATTGCATAAAGTGTAGAAAAAAATATATAAAATGTGTCAAATATTTACTATTTGAAGCAGAAATATATATTGATAAACTTTGCGGCATTGCTTCACGATGACAATTGACTCCTCTCCCTGCTAAGTAATTTGAGAAGTAGTGTGAATTATGGCAATAACTTCTCCCCCTCTCTAGAGAGCTGAAGTTTGTTTTGTTTAAAAGAAAACAGATGTGTCTAGCTAACAAATGTTTCAAATTAAACAGAACGTTTACAGATTTTTAAATTTTTACTCTATTTCCTAAAAAATTTAAAATTTTTATTACATTTAATAATCGTAAACTGTGAGACATTTGCGGCAAAGATAA